TGAGGTTCAATTCCAGATTTGGTTGAGTTTAATGCTAAGCAGTTTTATGTAAGGAAATGAAACTTTTTTTTAGTTGAATGGCAAGTATATTTTTATATTGAGATGAATATTAAGTATATTTGAATGGCAAGGGATTGTAACCAATTGTTAAGACCCAAAGCCACTGTCTAATTCTTAAATACAAACTGGAAAACTGCACACCAAAGTAGTAAAAAGTGTCTACTGGGAAAGTGCCTAATTGGCAACCAATTGTTAAGGCCCGACTGAACTAAATCTACTGACTAAAGGCCAAAGTATACAACAAAATAAACTGCCAAAGAGTAGACAAAAGCAATTCATTAACATGTTAAATTGAACCACCCTATCAGATCAAAAGATCAAAGTTTACAAAAGATCAAAGTTTACCAAAAGATCAAAGATTACATAAGTAACCACTTCTACCAAAATAGACCAAAATAGACCAAAATGCATCAAAAGTTTCATAGTTTCATATTACTACAAAAATACACCAAAGTTCACATTCAGTTTTGTTTCTTCATTTGAGTAGCTTTTTTTTTTCTTGCCTCTCTCTGGACTGCATTAGCTTGTTGCAGGCTTGAGGCTGTTACAAATTTTTTCCCTGCTCTTGTGATGACAGTTGGAGTAGCACTTCCACTTGGCTGTTGTGAAGAAATAAAGTGGGACAGTGGAGGGACTTGGCTCTGAACTAATTGTGATGGTTGAGATGTCATTACCTCCTGCAATTCCATAACAAACAAGGGTAAATTCAACTGACTGTCAAACTAAAAGTATTAAATGCTGATGGTGGTCATTAACTTACCATCTCATCAAGTACAAAAGTTGGCACTTGTGTCTCAACTGGGATATCCTCAAACTGGCCTTGAATGTGTACATCACCCTGTCCAACTACCACCTCATCCATCTCATGTACCTACAAATCAATAACATTAAAAAACAAGGCAGTTTTATTTACAAAACAATGCAGGTCCAACTAATACCTGTGGTGGATTGTTTCCTTTGCAAGTTGCTTCATTATGTCCTTTTTGACCACAAACCCTGCACCTTTTGACTTCTCCAACTTTCCTTGTTCTTTGTGCAAGGCTGTCCTTCTTGGTTTCTTCAAAAGGGCTGATCTTTCTCTTTTTTTTAGGCCTCCCAGGTTGTGTCTTATATTTTGGGGGGAGTGGAGCTGGAAGATTGGTTTTGGGCCACAACTCAGAAGATGAGATTGGTAGTATTGCTGGCTCATATGCTCTGAAATAAGAGTCCACTGTATAGCAATTGTGTACATAGTCTTCTGGTCTTTCCCTTTGTTTTCTTATAGCTGCAATTGCATGACTACAAGGGATGCCTGTGAGATCCCACCTTCTACAGCTGCACTGTTTCTGGAGTAAACTCACCTTGAAGACCTTAAAATTCTCATCATCTACTTGGTACATGTTTTCAGCAGACTTATAAGTATTGTACCTGCATGCCCTATCCTTTTCCTCTTCTATCAATTTGCATATCTTTGGACAAATCTTCATCGGATGATTTTTTTAGTCTTTCTCTATTTTTTTGCATCCTAGTCATAAGATATATTCTTAACTTCTCACACAAAGTTAAGATTGGTTTATCTCTGAAATTTAGGATAGTGCTATTCCATGATTCACACAAATTGTTAAGTAGCAAATCTGTCTTAGGAAATGTACTAAAATATGCCCTACAATAATGTTTAGCATCTCTTGCAGCTAACCAATCAGCAGCCTTAGCATTTATCTCCTTTAACTCCTCCATTTGCCGCTTATATTCTGCTTCTGTTGTTGCTTTACACACTGCCCACAGTTTCTGCTTGAGTACATTCCCACTGAAACCATCCTTTACAAAGTTAGCATGCATGTGCCTAACACAGAATCTATGCTCCATTCCCGGAAACAATTCTTCAACAGCAGGTATCAATCCCTTTTGCTTGTCTGAAATCAATGTCCAAGCATGAGGGTTACTTGAAATATTAAGATCACTGTCCAATCGTTTCAAGAACCATAACCAACTGTCGTTCAATTCCCCTTCAACAATGGCAAATGCTATAGGGAACAAGCTGTTATCTCCATCAACACCTACAGCACTCAAAAGTTGCCCTCCCTTCTGGCAACCCTTAAGATGACAACCATCTAACCCAAAGAAAGGTCTACATCCTCTCAAGAACCCTTCTTTGCAGGCTGCAAAGCAAATATAGAGTCTCAGAAACCTAGGTCTTCCATTGACAGTAAACTCACTATCAAGTTTCATCTTCACAGAAGTTCCCGGATTGCTTCTTTTCAATTCCTCACAGTAATCATTGAGTAAGTTGAATTGTTCTGAAACATCACCTTCCAGTTGCTTAAGAGCCTTTTGTTTAGCCCTATATGCCTGGTGTTTACTGACCTGACATTTCAAATTTGCCTTCACATGTTCTTGAAACTGTATTCTACCCCATTCTGTATTAAGTTTAATTTCATCCTTGTACATTTTGGCTAGAAAACCAGATTTCACAGTTCTATTTTCATCTTGATCCCCACATGTGTGTTCTGGAATGTATGTTTTAACCTGAAATGGACTTTTTGGATTGCTTCTTGAGGCAAAAATTGTCCAGTTGCATATGTCATTGTGTCTACACACAACCCTCACTCTACTGCTTTCATTCTTTTTAAAGTGGATATCTTTTCTCCTAGTTGCCTCATAATATTTAACAGCCCATTTAAACTCATCTGATGTTTTGAAAATCATTCCAATCTCAAACTTAAAGCCTTCTTTTTTCAAGTTCCTTTCTTCAAAAACATTCTGTACACCACTGTTTCCCCCATCAGAATCTTCAGAATTCTCTAAACTCTTAAACACCTCTTCAGACAATTGGCACTCTACTTCTTGTACTTCACCCCCTTCCAGTCCAACAGCAGGATTGACCTGCTTAGAACTAGCCCCAGTGTCCATAAGATTAGGGTCTTCCTCACCTTGATCTTCACCTTCAACCTCATCCTCATTTTCAGAACTCTGGTTTATTCCATCATAGAGTAGGCAATCATCTCCCAATTCTCTAGATATGTCTACCTCGTAATCCCATTGGTCATCAAATAAATGTTCAACAAATATTTCTACCTCCTTGTTGGGTGGAACCTCTTCAACTAAACTAACTATGTCTGCATCATTCAGTAGAGGCTTAAGATCAGTTTTTGTTGGCTTCTTCCTACCCTTACCCTTAACCTTAACCAGAGCTCAAAATTGCACCTTTTTATCAGCATACCTCAATTGTTTCACCATTCTCCTTAAATCTAGTATACTGCCCTCATCACAGTTGAAATGGTCAAAGAACTCAACTCCACCATCCCTATAACCAACAGTTGGATGCCATACTAAATCCCCACCAATATGGAGTTTTATGCTAAAGACAGAGGATTCTTCACCAACATCTATACAATGCAGTAAAACAATTAATTGCAGTGAAAATGGTCTACTTCATAGGTCCCAACAACACAGAATAAATGTAGGCACTTTTAGATGCACTTTGGGAAACTAACACAAAATACATATATTCAATTCCAGGCAAGTAAAAATGGTCCCCATATGCTTTCCCCTTTTTCGCTTTTTCTATTACAGTACATGTGTTTCCTTGGTCCCCACCAAACATTAACATAGAACACAACAAAATGCACATGTTAACATCAATAGTAAGACAAAATACATTGCCAGTTAAATGTGCGAACAACAAAACAAACAAGCAGTTAGAATTAAAAAAAAATTAGGGTTGAAAACTTACAAGTAGGAGTGCTGTTTAACCCATTAATTCTCCTACTAGTCATTGCGGATGGCGTCCTTAATAGCGTATTCTATTTGAAGTGGTGGAAAGGTGTCAATGGCGGAGGTTAGGGTTCTTCATGTGTGGTGGCGGAAATGGCTGAGAATGGCGGAGGAACGGGCTGAGAATGATTAAGTAAAACCAATGATGTGTGAAATTCCACCCTTACCCTTGATTTAAACGGTGTCAAACGGCCATAGTCACAGAAGGACCAAAACTGCTTAGTGGACGAATAATTGAGGGACCAATTATGTCCAAATCGGGAATTAGGGATGACATTGCAAAATTGACATTAATTGAGGGACCAAAAGTGCGATTCCCCCTTAAAAATCCATATAGATTATCATAAATACCTTTATTTATGGTAAGGGTGTCCTCATTTGAACATATATATATATATATATATATATATAGTCACAATTAAATTTTCATGTAAGTTTCACTAATTAAATAATGTAAAATATTTATCAAATTTAGAGTTAATATTTAGCACATTTAAAATAAATGTCCATCCAAGCTTTAAATTATAACTACATACTATATCAATTGGAGTATTGCAGCGGCTCTCATTAGTCATTGCTAACCAAATTTACAGTCCCAACTAGAGTTTAAGCATCTAAAAAGAGTGCCCAAAACATGCATTCTGAACTTCACTACATAAGAAAACATTCTTTTTTTTGAAACATCTACATAAGAAAACTAGAAACTGGAAGCAACATAGAAATGATGGTCAATGACCTCAACAAGATGGAGAAGTTTGTGAGACCAAAGGAAATAGACCTGTCTGTCTTCTTGGAGAGCTGCAACTGAACCACCCTAAAACCCTGAAATCCTCCAATATACAAGTAACATCCGATCCAATACAAAATTATCGCATTTGCTTTTGAGGGACAAACCGAATTCCTTGTTTTCCTAGTTCTATGTTCTGGGTCTTCCCATCGTCCAAGGTAACAGCAACAACTGAGGTCCCTTCAAAGAATTCTGTTACTTTTCCTCTGTGCCTGGGATAAAGGAAACCGAGAAAGAGAGGAAGTGCAATGAAACCCAGACTTGATAATAAATATCGTAAAGAGAAAAACATGTAGTCAGGCACAAGAGTCTCCCGCTATTTTATTTTTATTTTCAAGATAGAAAACTTACCAGGTATTATCTGATTGCTGATGAACTTCCACTCGCTTTCCTATTGCATCTTTTCCCAACTTCTGCAGTATCCAATTAGCATCCATCATCTCATCCATCGAATTGTCTTCGTACCACCTCGGATCAGCAGTAGCTGAGGATTTCTCCCCAAAGGGTGATGGTCTCTTTCGTTTTGACCTTTGACCCTTGATCACACCCTTCTCGTCTTCTGTAGAAGCCCACGCATTATGACCATCCGGATAGGGATTCTTGAATTTAAGTTTTAACAGTGGTTTAGGGTCCTTTTGCACGGGATGAGTTGGAGGCGTGCTATTTCTGTCATCAGCACGCGAATCATCGGTGACACCAGGTTCGCCTCCGGCATGTCTCGCTGAAGACACTTTGTTGCCTCTACTACCGGGAACCTGGATCACAGTCCTCGGAGCAGCCACGCTACCCTCGTTGCTTCTTTTTCCCGCAACTATAGATGCATTCAGTGGGGAAGCAGATGACCCGTTTCCAGTTTCTGGACTAGGTTTCTTGATCTTTATTAAGTGACCCTCTTTTCCCCTAACTTTTTGTCCTTGCGTTTGATCTGCTCTATGTCCTGTGCTTATTATAGAGACATAAAATAAAATAACGAGCCTAAAAGATGGACCAACAAAAATTAAAATGGAATTATCACGAGACTTGATAGAGAATCATTACCTTTTCCCCCGGTGGCTACAATTTCCTTCCTTTCCGTGTACTCGTTCAGTTTCTGTTGACCCAAATCCTCACTACCTATTGAGCACACGGAGGAAATAAATATATAAGGATTCAAGAAGGACAACTGCATTACCAAGCACTCCATCTATTTTTGAAATTTCATTTTGAACCATTATCAGTTGTCCACACTCCAGATGCAAAAAATGAATTTAAAACATTTTTTTCATCTCATTTTTCTACCACAATATATATATATATATATATATATATATATATATATATATATATAGAGAGAGAGAGAGAGAGAGAGAGAGAGAGAGAGAGAGGAAGGTTCAGGTGTGGCGTCTTACGGTGCGGCGTCACCAATAGTTCAACAAATATACACCATCAACGTTAGGAAAATACACCACAAAAAAACACACAAATTAGGTACGCATCACCAAAAGCACACCATTAGGTGCGAGTAAAAACACCATACAGTGTTCAGAAATACACCACTGGGGGTGATGAGTTATATGGTGTATTTTTTTGGATCTGTTGTGTGTTTTTTGGTGTTTTTTTGAATTTCATTGTGGTGTGTTTCTCTTACACTGTTGGTGCATGTTGTTAACACGGTTGGTGTATTCTGAAATTCCGCCGCACCACCGTACGGGAAACCCCGCCGCCTTTGAACTTTCTTCTATATATATATATATATATATATATATATATATATATATATATATATATATATATATACACACACACACACACACAAAAGCATAAGAATATAGCATAGAGGCCATACCATTTGAAGTAGTCAAGTTTTGTTCTCTTTGACAGCTTGAAGCCTCAGACTTAGGAGAACCGGTTAGATTTTTATTCCATGTACCCAAATGTATAACAAGCTTTGTTCCTTTAGTGGTCTTAGACGTTGTATGAGTTCCAACGTCTTCATCACTTGTACTGTGATGCTTGTTGCCTTTTATTTGGACCATTCTAGGTGCCCTGTTCCCATTGTTAGCAGTAACCTCGTCGATAAATTTGTGTTTTATAACCCCCGCCTCATTAACTGAACATATCCCCTCCGTCAAGCTACCAGCAATAGCGGGAGAAAAACAATCACGCTCTCCACTTCTGCAAGCCCTCGTTTCTTCGTTTGTTATAATATCACCGGATGGACCATCGGTATGCCCTTCGAAGCCCAGATGTGCTTCTACTTTACCAGTTGAAGATATCTGGTGCCCTTTATTCTTACTGTACTTCTTGTTCGAAGATTTCTTCCCATATTCCTTGCTCTTCTTGGGGGATTTTTCAGCTAGACCTTTGAGAGAGAACTTCAAAGAACGGCCATATTCGTTCTTTGATATCACAGGACTGTCCTCGTCATCAGAGAAAGGTGAAATCGAAAATATTTCTTCCTGAGTGGGCAATCCAGCAGCTGCCCTCAAACTTGCGATCAAATCCTTGTCAGCTTCGTCTTTCCTCCTCCAAAGCTCCTGGACAGCTTCCTCGAGATTCCTAACCTGGAAACATCGGGAGAAAAATATTGCAGTAATGGCAGTGGAAAACTTATTTCGAAAAAGCAGTCATATTTGAAAGTTGAAACACACCTGATAACAGTCCCCACGACAAGTTGGACATGCATACTGGAGATTTCCATCTACTTGAAACTGCAAATATTTCTCATCACTGCAAGGAAAATTGCCAGTAAGGTAAAGCAACCGTGAATTAAATATCAATGCACAAACCAATAAAGAAAAGAAAATCTTGGGAAACTGGAGATAAAAATTAGTTTCACATGCTGTACAGAGTTTAATCAGTTTATGTTTTGGAGACTCACAAAACTATATGTTTGATATTATTTCAGAAAACCCTTCTCTGACTCTTTTTTTTTTTTTTGTTTACACAACACAAAACAATCATAAAGTCGATGTAAGAGCAGATCAATAATTATGAATTAGTAGGGGCAACCTTATTACTATATGGGTTTTTTAAAATTGGGAGGGGCAAATTACTAGTATAAAGTATTACTAATCAGGATTCAGGATAAAAGATAAAATGTATACCTAATGCCATCACATTGGCAGTGCACCCAGCGCTGACAAATATCACAACAAACCATAGGTGTTGATTCAGAATCTCTATAAACCTGCAATCCAAACAAGTCAATTAACTTATACTTTGAATTCAGATGAAATATAGACGTCGGATCAGCAACTTTTTCTTAGAATTGTATTAATATTCCATAGAATCATCCTGATATCCTACCTTCAAACAAACAGGGCAATAGTTGCCCTTCACAAACAATCTTCCACAAGCATCACAACAAGTGTACCCCAGAAACCATCTGCAACGTTTCATGGCTATTATCAATTTTCAGACTAACCATAAGGTGGGAGCAATAAAACTTTTGTGTTTGTCAGGAAAAAGAAATGAAATAATAACAATTCTAAAATTATAATGCATCAAAAGTTTCAGTCTTAATTAGGAATTGGTCCAACAAAATGGCTTAACTCACAACTTAAACAAATCAATGAAACACAAAAGTAATCCCCCAAACCACAAAAAGAAACTGTTTCTATACAAGATGTTATACTAAATTGATTCAACCAATAGAAACCGTATCATCTTTCACAAAGCTCCAAAGAGTGCTTAAAACTACATACCTTACACTTAGACCATTCCCTGGAACAGAAGAATTACAACTGTGACACCTTGTGTGCTTTGGGCACAAATAAGGTCCACTGCTAACATTCTGCACCAAAAAATAAATTATACAAACAAAACTTTTCCATCTTAGGATTATATAAAATAGAAAAAAGCAAGGAATAAAAATCCACCTTGTGTGGAGGGTGCATACAGTAGCAATGGTATGCTGCATCACATCTTTTGCAGAACATGAACTTATTTGGATCTCCAGATCGCCGACAGGCCTAATAGACAATGAGAATGGTCAAAGCAGTGTAAACATATAGGCAAGAGGCAAAGGAGACATCGTGTGAAACGCATAGCTCATCCATTGGGTGTTTTAAGTCACTAGTTTATAGGCATTTTTCCTCTCTTTCTCCCATCTACCAGAACAAAGAAATATGGGCAGAAGGCACTAATTTCTTCAAAAGATGTCTTCCTATGTATCAGTCAGCCAGTCTAGTTTTATATTTCTTGGGTGCTCTGCAGATTTGAATACTAAAATGTAGTTTGAAGGTGGATTACAATGCTACCTGCCTACCTATCAAATCAAAAGAAAGATATGCCATGAACCTATGAGTCCTGGAAAGGTGGTCAATCCCTACTATGTTACACCAAATCACTACCCTTATTAACAGCCTAAAGAAGATATTACTCTTAAAGAATCCACATAGCATAAGCATAGCCTTTCCTAAATAAAAGAAACATGAAGAACATTCACCTCACAAATCCGGCACGATGGGCATGTCCAGGAACTCCAATGAAAAAGATCTGGGGAAAAAAATAAAGCAAAATAAATTTACCAAACACATACAGTTCAAAAAGTCAAATTCCTGAGGGGGGCTCTAGAAGAACCTCTATGTTGAGCCCAAGTTCTCAAGCAGCTGCGGTGATACTTCTTGCCACAAGTTTTGCATGACAACATTTTCTTTGCCTTTTCACTTCCATCATTTTCACCGCGAAAGCATAGTCTACACATTATTTTGGCATTTGATTGAGTAAGTTCTTCTCCAGCAGTATCTTTCACAGGCTCCTGCCGGAAGAAAATTTATGATTATGTCAATACAAGAGATAAATATGAATTATAACTAGTTCATGCCTCAGCTGTTCTCCCAGCAGTATTTTTCACCCCAATTTGACTTTTAAGAAAAATTGCAGCTAAAGGACAATTGAAATTCTTAGAATTAGGACCAACACACTGTGCTCTTTCAAGCATCACATATAAAGATGAAAAAACATAAATAAATACATAAAAACAAAAGTAAAAGAAAGTCAAAACAGCATAAACCTGTATTCCAACATCAAGAATTCAAGATCAGTAAGCAGCATATCCAAATGGAAACAACACTCCACTCTTTCCATCGATTTCATTTCAAGCAAACCCGATATACAACAGACCAACAAAAAAAAACCCACTATTTCACATTCAACCAATTAAATTCCTCAAATAATAATAATAATAATAATAATTAATGCCACTTGCACTTTTCAGAAAAAAAAAAAATGAAGAAACCCACCACTAAATTCCCAGACTCAAAACGCCTAGCATAATCCTCAGCCACCAAGGACGCAGCCGCGGCCTTCTTCTGCAACGCGGCCCGCTTGGTCTGCGCCGACAACATCGCCGCCGCCTCCTCCGCATCCGTGCCAGCATCACCACCGACAGCTAGCGACTGAGGAGGGGGAGGAGCAACCACGACTTTGGGAACCTTTACCTGAATTGTGGCATTCTCCCTAGCCCTAAGCAGCCAAGGGTCCTTGAGAAACTCCTCAAGCTTACCCACCTCCTCCAAGAACTCATTTTTCCCCTTGTCGCCCTGCAACCCCCTCGCAAACCCAAGCGGGCAGTAGCAAATCTTCCGACTGCGCACAAAAACACACTCAACAGCGCGAAAAAATGCCACAGAATGCGCATAGCTAGAGAGAGAGAAAAAAAAATTGGGGAGAGAGAAAAGAGGGAGAGGGAAAAATTATGAAATGAAAGAGGGAGAGGTGTTACTGTACCAGGTAATTGGGCAAGCTACATGAAAGGCCATACGAGGAGGATTTTGGCTTTGTCAAAATTTTTCAAGTGAGTTTAAGGAGTGTTGGCAAATATTAGATTTATTTCGAGAAAAATACTTGGGATTGAATAAGGAGAGAAGGAGGCAATGGAGTTAGGGATTGGAGATTTGAGGGGCTCCCACATAAATAATGTCACCTTATAACTTCACCAAATTCATAGTTTCGCCCCCATACTTTTCAGACCTTTGAGATTGGGCTGCTACTCCCTCTACTACAAACTCATTGTATTTTGAAACTATCCAAAGGATTACAATAAAAATAACAATAATAACTAACTAGTGTTGGAAACTTGGAATAGGTTTACCAAGGAACTCTACAAATGTCACATAGGAAAAAAAAAAATTAAGGGGTAGAGTAGCTAGCACTCATGGAATGGAAGGAAATTTTTTTTTATTACACAATTATAAGCTAAGAGACATTTTTCAAGAAAAATTAAATCTAACATTATATTAATTCTTGTATAAGTATAGTGAAAGTTGTATTGATAGGGAAGATAAAGTTCAAGGAAGAGCTTGAGAGATTTTTTTTTTTTTAAGTACTACTGACTCTATTACAATATAGTATATGTTCATAACTATTTTCTTCTTTCTCTAAAACACAAAGAGTCAATACCGCCTCCACTGGGGCACAAACGCATGACTTCCTATTTGGGAGAGCCACTCCATGCCACTAGACCACAAGGTCATTGACAGCTTGAGAGATTGTTAGATAGTCAGGAATTAATATACAAATAGTGGAAGGGGTAGATAGGAAAAGAAATAGTTATATACTAGGGTTAGTGAAAAGTGAATAAGCATCAAATTTTAAAACTTAAAAGATGAAATAAATTGTTGAGATTGTAATCATGGTTGTTAGAAGCAATGTGACAATCAATGTCTTATCGATTCGTGTCAGTGAATCGCAAAAAAAAAGAAAAAAAAAAAAAAAAACATGTAAAAAAATATTTCTAATCACAAAAAATTAGAAATCAAGTGTTTTTTGTCAATCCGGTTGTGATAAGTGATAACATGTAATTTTATTATATTCTTATGAACTGAAATGTACAGAAGGCATATATTTATACAAACATTGAATCAGTCTCATTCGTATTAGGAATAGGTTTAGGGTTTCTATTTTCACACTCTCACTCAAGATGAGTGTATATATTGTATACACCAAACTTGTTGCAAATATATCAAATTCTATGATCTCTAAGAGACTTAGTCAAGCTATCTACTAATTGATTAGCAAAATTAACAAAATCAATTGTAATACATCCGCATCAAGGGAGCACAAATCACCACAAATTGAATGGTTTCTTTCTCAATAGCAAGTTAAACACAATCTACAAGGTTTTTAGGGTTCTAACGAAATTACCCGGTTCAATCCACTCCGTTTGCGATTGAGACTTGTAGCTCTATTTTTCATTTTTTCGATCCAACAAGCGTAACTTCGAGCATATGTGAATATATAAGGTTCCCTTTTAAGCTTCTCAATAGCGAGCAAATCCGCTTCTTCATTTCTCTTTCTCAACTCATATTAGTCCTTTTTTTTTTTTTGAAAGATAGGTTTGATCTTCTATATTTTGATATTAGAATATAAGATAGTAACCTATCCAAATAAGGTTTGGACTACTAAATAGTTGCCTGTCAAGTGGGCAGCCAAGTAGAGTAAGAGTTTCTTTCTCTCTGTTTTTTTTTAATATTAATTTTATTCAACCTATTTGGTTCCAAATCTTACAATTCTTAATTATTGTATAGGTTTTCTCCATTTTTTTCTCTCTCAACTATTGTACCTCTCAAACATTTGATCCATGACAACTAAATTCATACACATTTGATTATTTTGATCAATTTCTCAACTAACCTAAATTGAAATTTTCTACATGACAACTTATTTAGAAGGACATTTTGTTGAATGTATATATCATAAGAGTCGATACATTGTATATTTATTACATAGGAGCAGGTTTTTCCTAATGCACACTATATAAATAGTGATTGTAAATTTCTCTCTCTCTCTCTCACACACACATGCACGCACGCGCGCGCGCGCGCGCACACACACACACACACACACACACACACACACATACACACACACACACACACATATAACTTCTGTGAGAACGAGCTAGGAGATAAATAAAAAATAATACGGGTTAGAGGTAATTTTTTTTAAAAATATGAAGTGGCATTTTTGTAAACAATACAAATTTTGTATGCAAGTAATATGTGTTAAAAGTGCAAGTAACATATGCAAGTAAAATCACTTAAAATTGCAACCATTTACACTTAAATAGTGCAAGTAATTTTACCTTTTCACATTGGTACACTTAATGATAACTTTCTTCACATTAGTGCACTTAGTGATAAAGTTTGGTGCAACTATTAATAACGTTTGGTGCACTTTATATTGTTGCTCGATGTATAAGACAATGCTTTGGTGAGAACGAGTGCTCAGGAGATAAATAAGAATCAATCAAAGCTGTCCATTTGGAAAGACCTAACGGATCATATCTAATTTTAAAAAAAAAACGTGATAGCATTTTTATAAATAACTCAAACTTTAAAGTGCAAGTAACATATGTTAAAAAGTGCAAGTAACAGGTGCAAGTGTGTAAGTAAAATGTCCAAGTAAACTCACTTAAAATTAAAGAGTAACTATTTACACTTAATAGTACAAGTAATTTATCTTTCACATTGGTGCACCTAATGATAACCATTGGTGCAACTTGATGGGAAATATTCTCTGAACTTATGACCGTATACTTGCTCAGCATGCGCCCCGTACATACTATGGAACGCTTTTCGACCTTGTATGGTTCCGATCTGACCCGAGCGCAGACGTAGACTTATAATTCCGTGTAACGCCTTGTGCCCGGTCCCGACCTAGGAATTCTGGATGACCATCCCGAGCTACATCACTTCAATAAAAACCGGCACAGATAATGATGCTCATTCCGACCGGGAACTAAAAGTATTACATTTGTCTTCAAAAGTATTACGTTTTTCCTTATAAGCAACAAATACTTTATTCTTATTTAGTATTACATTTTCTAGTATAAGTATTATATTTCATCTTGACTGACCCGTCTCACGGCTAGTTTTTGCCATTCATTTATTTTCGGGAAAATGGCGGTTTTAGTTTATTAATTATACTTATATTGTAGACTCGGTCAATAAATTATTACCGTACCATACACAAATTTTTCCCTTTAATTATGTGTAAAATGACAATTTTAGTCCACAATTAACAAATCATGTTAATATTTATAATGCACTTTAAAATTTCAAATTATTGAGGGACAACTTAATTAGTCATTTTTTATTTATATCATTTTGTATTAAATAATTAATTAACCATTGAGTTTTACACACAATTTCGTGCCATTGAAATGTAGCTAAAAATTAACATTACACTTCAAATTCTCAAATTATTGAAAGACATTAGTTATTTCGTAGAATTTTCTCAAATTTCATAAACTAAATCTTCATATATACCGATTCTCTATATTTGTAATGAAGATTTGCTATGATCTCATTTGGTTCATGGAATTTCACAATTTAGTAATTTTGATCTGGAAAATATCTCCACCACTATATTTACCACTCTGAAATTAAAACATTAAAATTATTTACTTTCATGAATTACTGGTAAATTTATCAACCCACTTTAAGTTATATAAATAATCTACGTATCTAATAAATAGATGATACATCATATACTGATTAATAGGGACAGGGAATGGTAATGGTTATCCATTTCCCAACATTGACAAATTATTGCGGTCCACACAGAGCTGTGTATCACAATTTAAAAATATTATCGTGAATATTATGAGTAAATATAATGTACATTATATGTTAGAATACTGTACATTATGTTTTAAAATAATGTACATTATGTGTTAGAATAATAAAACATCTGGGTAATATAATATATATTGTGTTTTAAAATAATGTACATTTTGAATTATAAAAATGTATATTACAGCTGAATGCACGAAAACATAAAATTAAATAAAATAATGTCATTTTTGGATCGTAGTTGTGTGGACCATGGTCATGTAATAACTATTGCCATAGACGGAGCCAGAGGGGGGCAGGGGGGGTCAGCTGCCCCCCCCTCACCCCACCCCACCCCTACCCTATATTGTATATAATATGTATATATAGTACATTATTCATATAAGTATTATAAAACAGATTATGTAAATAGAAGCTGTGATAGACAAGGTGGTAGCTAATGTGTATGAGTTTCGGAATGGAATGGGTTTGAGTCTTCGCATTGACAATGTCGTAGTTTTCTTCACTTTTTTTTATTAACACAATTAAATTTTGGCATGATATATATAACTTTCTTTATATTAATAATGGAATGTGTAATTTATAATGTGTTTTATATTCGAATTGTTTTATCAAATTAATTATGTTTAATATTTTGTTATAAATATTTTTATAAAGTTTTAATATGTTTTATTTTTCGCTATATCCAACAATATTTATTGTTATACTTTTTAAGTTTTTTTTTTTTTTTAACTTTCTCTTTTATTTTAATTTTTCTCCCTCACTAAAAAAATTTTCTGAATCCGCCATTGAATCCATCCTTACTTCTTTGCCCCTCCCTCAACATATTTTCTGGCTCCGTCCCTAACTATTGCCCCACATTTCTCTTAATAAACATTTACCATTGAAGTTTTAAATAAAATTTCATATTTTTTGTTGTTACAAAAATTAATTACAAAAAGTGACACGTATAAACTTGATATATGTTATGCTGTGTTAGATTCATGAATTATTTTACCTTCAGAGTCAAAGATGCTTTCTGAAATTGTGGATTTCTTTGAATCACTTTAACGGTTGTAATAATTATATAACAAAGTTTGAAAGTATGTTGTCACGCATGAGCTCGGCCTTTGCTAGCGATGAGGTGGTTACACGGGCCCTTTGTTTGACCAGACCAATTTAATTATTTCTTTATCAATTCATAGTCATTACTAACCTATGTTGTCGTTGTTATAATTAGAATTTGAATGTCGGTTAACTCTGTTGTCGTTGTTATAATTAGAATTTGAATGTCGGTTAACTCAAATACGATGAATCAAAATGTCGGTT